GTCAAGTCCCCAACAAATCTGCGCACATGTTCGTATACCCTGCTGCTAGGAACAAAGAAGTCATTACATTGAAATATTTCCATTGTCTGCACTGTAACCCTAAACATGATCGTCACCAGTCCCTAAATTTACACTAATCCTGATTTATTATCGGGATGAGACATTGAGCAACTGCATATGCTGTATTTATCACTTGACTTTTCTGTGGTTTCAGTTATATTGAGATGAGATAGGACTCCAAAGTCACGCAAGGGTGTTTTCAGCTCCCTTTGGCTGCAGTGTGATTTTTCAACCCAAGAGCTAGATTACATTGTCTTCTTACAGAGGGAAACAGTTACCTCATGGAGTATAATTGCTGCTATGACATCATAAAGTTTAAATAACCAAGGTGTTGCTTGGCATTTTTAACAAATATGTCTCCAGGATTAAGTTTCTTTTTAAATGGCAATGAACGTCATATCTAAAAACAGCTGGTTATTTGAGTGGAGGTAAATGAAGGAATCTGTTTTGTTGTATTCACGTCTCATCATACTGGTGACGTAACAATTTCTGTGCTCGGATGTCGGTGAGAACATTCATTTAGAAATATTCATTTTAAAATCGTCTTGCTCCTTCTTTAAAAGTATGGCAAGGATTTAGAGGCTTGAAGGAAAGTTTATGAAAGCCACTGAACTTAAAAGATTTTAGTCGGTTCAAGGTAGTGTGCTTTGACCGGGACTCGATCATAACCGTTAACATATTTTGTGCAGCACTCTATTGCTATTTTAATGTAACGTCTTACTTTGCCTTTATTACTCTGCAATATAACGGTAGAAAATTGGCGCTGCGTAATGCAGAAGGGTTATTCAGTTGTTTCTGATATCTATTTTTACATGTTGTTGTTGTTGCATGTATAATACTACATTATATATTACGCCTCTATTGGGAGCCATTCTTTTGGATTGCTGCCTCCCATCCACCTTTCCAGTAATATACCCACCTCCATCCTGCTCTCGATGAGCTCTCAGCAACCACAGTGTTTCGTGTTAAAGGTGAACTTTTACTTTGCATTTAAGTGGATGGAAATGCAGATGTATGCAGAGCTGTGGGTGGTCACTGTCAGTGATAGGTGCAAGTACAGCCCACTCAGAGGGCGAGGGCACAGTGGAGTTTTGAGAGAGGGGCCTCGGGGTGCCTACACTGCCCTTGTGCCTCTTTACCTGAAACTGACTCGGGGCACAGCTGCAGCCTCCACAAAAGCACTTTACCAACGGTACACATCCTCTTTGCTATGTGCTACTTAGATAGATAGATAGATACTTTATTGATCCCCGTAGGAGAAATTCAGGTGTCCATTAGCAGCAAAAATATAAAAATAAAATTGATAATTCTAAAAAGTTGAAAATAGTATTGACGGATAAGTATGTATAACTTGAGTGTTTTATGTTTGATGGAGGGGAGGGGGGTTTCGAGCAACCTTAAATGCAAAGCAAATGGAGAAATAAGCGCATTTCTTCACAAACGCAACAGGATAAATGCTGATGTTTTCACCACATGCTCAGAACTTTTCTACACCAAAAGTAGATAAGGAAAAGTTAAACAAAAGCACATAGGCTAGCTCATTTAGCTATTATGCATCACTCACTCCCTTGACGCTAGTGGCAGTTTCTCCTGGATCTGTGACTGTGCACAAACAGGCGACCAATGGGAACGTAACTCTAGGGGTCTGGAAGAATCATTTTCGACTCGTGTATAAGCCGGCTAAACTCGGGATAGACATGTGTGTTAGTAAGGGCGGCCTCAATGATTCAGAAGTCCATGATTTCCATTCGAACACCATGTGAACAAACTCCTTTGTTCAAATATAGCCTCATTATATTTATATCTACATGCAGAACTTTCCCTTGAAATGTGACCAGTTAACCTTTTCCTATTTTTTTCTTTCTTTTCATTACTAGTTCATATAATTGGTGCCGTTTCCTCTGCTTTATTTCATGGTGTATCTTTTTTTTAAATAAACTCAGGCTTGAAGAGTAACAAAGTGAAGTTCCTCATGCATTATGAATCCACAGCACTTGATATACTATATTACATCAAATAACAGGACTCCTTCTCATGCGAATGCCGCGTCTTCCATGGTCAATTGCTGCTGAGCACATCAGTATATCCTGCAGTGTACTAAGCGGTCACGCGTTTGTACTTGCTCAGCTGAATCCACTATACATCTGTTATCAATTCCCAGGCCTCAGTGGTATTGAACCCATGCCACAGCCCCACTGCTCCCCTCCTGTTGGGGCCTCAGTAGGGCGCTACAAACCCCTCAGCCATGCCGACTAAAATCCTCTCTTGGTCCAACATGATTTTTTCATTAAGCTGCCAAATTCCTGCACTCCAGTTGGATGTGATTTATCAACTAGGGGCTTCATTGCAGATTCATACGAAACAGACCCAGGTCCTGTCCCAGTCCTTATTATATTTCAAAGTGTACACAGCCTTTACTGGTGTGTGAAAGTGAAGGGATAGCGAAATGTGAGTGCCTTTAATGTATTTTCCATCAAATTTTCCTTCAAAGATGTATACAGTAAATTTTTTAGACGCATATACATTTTTTTAACTCTGATAATCCTGTTCAGGTTTCACTGTTTGTATAACCCTGCCAACATTGAAGGTATTGTAATCATCTGTGTATGCGTTTGTCAGTAGACAGGATTGGGACAAAAAATACTACATTTTTGTGTGTAGATGTAATCAATGGTAGAAAGACCACATTCAGATTTTATGGTGATACTCATTCTAGTTGATGTCTTGCGTTTGTTCACCAGTAAAAAACGTGCTGACCCATGAAACGAAAATAGACTTTATTTACTCCATTTGTTTGCCTCTATTGAGTTGGTCATTTTATTGAATATTAGTGTGCGTATCTTGTCTATATCTAGTTTTACTGGGGCAGACGCTCATGCTCTGGGGTTGTGTCCCGTGCACCAGTGAAAGTGCTGCTTTACAGGTGTGGCTGTTTGACATTGCAGACTGGTCTTCACGCAGTGGGGTGGGCCAGCTGTACAGACCGCACTCTGGGCCAGGTTTATAGTGAATTATGGGCAATTGTGGGGCAGTCGGTCTCAAGTTCACTCCTATATAAACCTTGTGCTCTTTATGAGAAACAATAAAACTCCCAAGACTTTTTTCTCTACCCCTAGCGACCAGCTTTGAAGTTCCTCTCAGGTGCTATCTTTTCTTTTCTTTTTTTTGACATGTCTTTCGATATATTTTTGAAGTAGAAGGAGTCGTTTTATTTTAATTCAAAGCATGTGACTGGACTAAAAGCAGTTTACATGATGGATTTAGTGTTTTCTATAACTGAATCTGCCTCTCAACCATCTTAGCTTACCTCAGATGTGAAAGGGGGAAGTGGAGGAAGAGGTGGAGGGTTCTAACATTATCCAGCAGCACCTATTCATGACATCATGCATGACTTTAAATGAGGAGAGACGAGAGCGCAGGCACAGACACCCAACCTTTTAAAATCACCTAATAACTCTATTACACGGAGAAAGGGGGTTCACAAAACCACCGGAAAAAATCTCATTCTTTTCCTTAATGCGCATTATAGGTGTAGAAGTTAGAAATGTGAAACCACGGAAAAGGAAACGCAATATTCTTCTAGGCTCCATAGTAATATTACAATATTGTCTGAAAATGAAAACAAACTCAAAATGGACTAGAATCTTTTTAGTGTGAATGCTATTATGACTTATTTAGTCTTGTCAACACCTGAATTAGACTTAAAGTGGTTTAAGTATCCTTTGCTTTTAACAGCTCCTCTGTACGGTTTAAATGGATCCTGTGTCACATTTGGAATATATAATAAAGGGTAAAATTATCATAGCTTGGGTGACAATAAGATGTGCAGCGAACCTATATTACAATACGTCGTAAAATGTTAACCTTATCAGAGTAATTGTAATCAACATATACCATAAACTGCATTGGCCGCCCGCTGTTATATTTGTAACCACCTCTAAATCAAACAACATAAATAAAAACTTGACAAAAATCTCTTCAAACTTATACTTAAACTTATAACTTATACTTATACTGCATTAATTACCTCCGCCCCAACCTGGAGTGAGTTCTTGGCGTGCTTTGAGCGGGCCCTTTATACTGTGCAGATGCAGAAACAATCAGTGCGGTGCTTTAGGATAATGGTCAATACTCGTACAGGCCTCAGCCATATTGTGTTAGACTTCCATCATTGATTGAGCCATGTAGGAGGTAATTAGGCTAGAGCTCTGTGGTGTGATAAGGGCTTGTGGTGGTATGCTGTCACTGTGGGGTGTGGGCGATGTTGTGATGCGGCACAAGGCAAGCCGCTGGGCCGCCCGGACTACGCCTGTCCAAGTGTATTTAGAAGGAGCACTGGGCTTGACAGGTCAATACTGCTGCTGATTTCTTGTCCTCAGAAGGTTGTCCTCCTGTTGTGGAATGTTCCAGTCTGTCTCTCAGAACACTCAGTCCCCACCTGCGCCACCATCGAGGGCCTGGCTTCCTCCAGGAGAGAGAGAGAGAGAGAGAGCGCAAGAGCCAAGATTTAACGCGCCCTGATCAATATTTAGCATCCCATGCGTGAAACAGGCAGATGTTTGGAGTTTCCTTTTCAGAGACGGGAGGCTTGTGTTGAGTGAAGGGGATCAATGCTGCCTTTCCGTCTGAGAGGCTGGGCCCGGGGCTTCTGAAGGGGTCTGTCGGTGTTCCCATTCAGCCTTTGGGCCTTGGAGGTTTGCGTGGCCTCTCTTGGCCTGTTAGCCCGCTGATACAGACACTCGCACAGACAAAGTGGCCAGTTCAAACAGTTGTCTTGAAGTGAAGAGGTCTGGATGTTAAACAACAGCCCTGTGATTGGGAATTGATTTGTTCATTTGCCAACTGTGTGAGTGAAAGTGAGCCAGTGGTGCCTAGCCAGCTATCTGCCATCTACAATAACCTCGTTTTATCTATGTCCTCTCCTCTCTCTCCTCCTGCAGCACCTCCAGCAGCATGAGAACGCAGTGGAGGGTGATGCCTGCTACTACCACTGTGTGCTGTGTAACTATTCGACCAAGGCCAAGCTCAACCTGATCCAACATGTGCGCTCCATGAAGCACCAACGCAGTGAGGGCCTGAGGAAACTGCAGCGGCTCCAGAAGGGGCTGCCCGAGGATGACGAGGATCTGTCTTCAATCTTCACCATCCGCAAATGCCCATCGTCAGACACAGGTCAGGACCCACTATTGTCAAATTATACGTCATACAAGCCGTTTTCTATCACATTCATGCACTGCAGACAAGCATGGGCACTCAACTATTATTGGTAGCACTTCAGAATGACTCAAGACTGAGAAGTAAAACCCACGTTTCTATTCATTTGGCATAAATAAATAAGAATTGAATTGAATTGAATAAAATATACACTTTTAGTCTCTTGGAATTGTGTATTGATTTGGCATGGTTCACTGACCTTTACAGCATTTACCTTGGCTTAAATGTATAATTTTTGGCTTAATCCATGTTGTGGAGAAATGTGGTTATTCTAAAGTGCTATCATATGTTTCTTTTAGAGAATTTAATTTCTCAGGTTGTAGAATGAAACATGTAGCATAGGGGTCGACAACATTTATTATCAAAAGAGCCTTTTTCCCCCCTTCTGCCAAAATAATTGTAATAATATGGTATGGTAATAATTGTATACAACAAACTATTTTTACAAATGATACATGAATATGATATATGATCCTTTCCTGGGAATTCCTGCCCTTAGATTTAGCAAGCAATATTACAATCATAACATAAAGACATGTCGTGATTCTTCTCAAGGCCAAAGGAGCCATTGAAAGGAGACTGAAGAGCTCTTGGTTCGCCTGCGCCTGGTTTAGCTTATTATTTAGTTTCATTTCATGCATTTTATGGCACAGATGTGAACACCAGAAGGAGCTATAGTAGAATCTCTTCTAACAAACAAGAACACCAAAACAGACTCCAGAAAACATCATTGCTAAGAGCGACAAAGTGTCTGGAATGCTCATTCATTATGGGATGATTAGGAAGACTGAACTGCGGTCAATTAACACTCTTTCTAAGCAGAGATTTGGTTTTCTAATCACTTTAACTCTGGTGCCCTGACAATGGGGCTCTATTGTGCTGCCTATGAGCGGGAACCATTACTCTCTCACACACATACTCACTGTCTGTGTTGTGGCTGAAAAAAGAGGGCCAGCCTGTGAAGACGCTTTGTTCCAAGGAGGCAGGGATAATGAAGCCAGCAGCCGGGAAATTGCGCAAAAGGCAGTAGCAGATCTGAGGCAAATCATTAGAGAACATATTTAGCCGAGCAATTAGAGACAATTAAGCTTTCTGTTCGCTGCACTGCAAATATGTTAAACGACCAGAGTGCACTGGACATGCGAACATGCAGAATGCAGGAGGAAGGTTGAAATGCTTTCAGATATTTCTTCCTTTTGGCTGTAATTGTCTGGATTTCTTTCTTGTTATTGTCTATCAATATCTCGCTTGTTAGTTTGTCAAAATATAATTAGCATAATTTGTTAAACACTTTGTCCCAAAACTAGTGGTATCACTCTTTTTTTCTCTTTTCAACTTGTAAATCATTATAAGTAGTTGTATTGCTTACACACAATGTTCAAATGATCCAGGAATATATAAAATCAACTTAATTATTACATTTAGAAATGGATTTTGGCAAAATTCATGACTTTTCAACCTCTAAACTTAGATTGACATGGCTGAAATGTGTTGGTACATAATGACCCTGCATTTTGTTTTTTGCCTCGTCCTTCTCCAACTGGATCATTCCCACGCGTTGTAACATTTAATTTCCTCTTGACTCACTCTTCTGTGGCACATGGCTCTTTCTTGTGGTCGAGGCACATTTGTGAAAGTGGTGGAACTTTCCCTGGCTTGTTAAAACAAAGTTGCCCCTGGATTTCTGGGTCACCTCCACAGTAATTCCCTGCCTTGCTTCTGTTCTGTAAATCCTACTGCCATTATAGGTGGGAATTCCCCAAACAGACCCAGCCTCAGAGCGCTAAACCTATACTTTTTCATTTTCTCTGGTTTTCTATGCAACTAGTCTATTCCTAAAGCTGGTCCCCTTATGATGACACAGCATTCCCCTTCTGCAGGGATTGGTGCCTCGTATAAATCCTTTGTGACTGGATGTCCAAGGAGAGCAAGGGCAGCAGAAAGTTCTTTCCAATTAGAACTAACACATGCATAAAAAGGCCATGCATTGTTTTAATTTCTGCTCCCAGTGTAAATGTGCTGTAAGGGCATATTGCAGTTTGGCTCCACCTACATTTGTCTTGCTTAACCCTGTATCTGGGGAGATAAAAGATGTTTGCTGTACATGCACTGAACAATGATAGTTGATGTTTTGCCCTCCGTAGGCAGGTGTATAGAAGTAAAACTGCTGAAAGTTGTGACATGCTGATTTCACAGTTTAAGAGCAGTTTTGGAGAGTGAAAGGATATGGGAGGGTGAGTTTCAAATTTTGGATGGCTTGTGTGACACTAGAGTGTACAATAGCCCTATTCTGTGTGAATGATGTGCACCAGGGCATACAGCTCAGTGACACAATCGGGTTTCAAATTTCTTCACATCTAATTATCTTACTTTTTGAGTTGGGTTGAACAGAATGAGATCATGCAGTCTAAAGGGCACAGTTAAATTTCATTCTTAGGTGGGTCTCTGTAGTCAATGTTGATTCAGGGGAGGAGAAATTGTTAGGAAGTTATAATTCAGATGTGCGCCTGGTGGTTGCAAAGCATGTGTGGTTATGGATATTTAGGAAGTCAAGATGGAGCAGAAAGTGATCTGACAGTGTGGATTAGCTCCTGCTGTAAATCTGCCTCAGTCACAGATGGCAGGCCCTTGATCGCTGGGCTGTGACGCTTTGGCTCTCATCATGAGAAATCCCTGTCTGCTGAGAAGACTGGAAAAGGGGGCTTGGCACAGGCAGCTTGGCATTGTCTATGGCTAGTACTGGACAACAACATCTGGGCAGTCATGCAAAATGATGGACATTTTTCATAATGTGCAACATGCTGGTGCTATGATAGTAGAGATTGACACCAGTCAGTCACTCTAACAACTGTAGGTGTCAGACATTCAGACACTTTCAGACCCTGTCTTTCTTGGCTTCCAGCTCCACAGATGTATACTCTATATCCAGTGGCAGGGATCAGGCCATTTAAGATATTTGGAAAGATAAAAGCCCATGTGAGCTTGGCCACACTCTGTTGACATGTAGGGGCCAACTTTTAAGCATTTTTTTTCTACAAGCATGAACTAAACAGACAGTAGAAGACATTTCTGGAATGTTCTCTTTATTCATGCTTGTTAAAATGCAAAGTTAACCTTTTTAGAGACAGGATATTGTAGCTCCAAACCAGCAGACCACTATACATGCCACATTATAGCCAGTCTGCAGACACTGTAGCAATGCACTTTTAATAAAGGCTCTTATTGCTTTGGTGATGCAAAGTGGATATGAACATCAGGACTGGGCCTACAGTCCAGTAAGGCCTCAGTCGTCTGTCTCTAATCCCACCCAAAGGGCATCTCGACTGCATAGGAAATTGTTTGCTGTCCATAGAACGTGCCAGGAAATTCATAAATACATGATTTTTCATTTTGAAAATATTACACAATACATTTATTAGAAAGACACAATGATCGCTTTTTTCACAATAGTGATGTTCTTCTATTGCTCTGATTACATTTTAAAATGAGATACAACTTTTATTGTTTACGCAATGCTTTTATGAGGCCCTGTGACACTGGTATGTAGTTATTCAAAATGTATCCTAAAATTATTGTAAATATTATATGACATGCTATGAAGTGAATGTGGAACAAACATAGTCATTAAAAAATAAATTAAATACCTTCAATGTGATAAAGAAGTAAAGTTGAGCCCATAGTGTGATTTGTGTGTGATTTTTGCCACACAGGTGCAGCAGTTTTCTCCTGCAGACACATGGCCGTAAAGCAGTGCACACATAGGTGTTCTCTGTAGTGAAGCAGGCAGTGTGTGAGTGCGAGAGGCTCCCCCTGTCATCGAGCCCGTTTCCACAGCACAGACTGGCAGCACATTATAATATTAGTTTCCCCCTCTCTTGTCATTACCAGACGCTATCCTTGAAAGCTGATCCAAAAGATAGACAGTCCATCAGGAGACAGTCATCTCATTTGTACTTACTAAACGTGTTAATGAGTTCTATTCTGGGGCCTGGAGCTCTGGCTGCTGGATATTGGAGTGGAGGTGGCGGCGGCGGTGTGAAGTGCCGGATTGCAGGCTGAGGGCGAGCGAATGTCACAGAGAGAGAGTGACCACAGCCGCCACAGGGGCTGTCAGTCAATGCTGAAGGCGGGAAGCTTGTGGTCACATGCTGACAGAGACAGGGAGCACAGAATATATTAGGTGACGAAGACATAATGGCTTTGATGGGTTTAATTATAGCAGTTGTCATGTCAGTCCTATTCAGGTATAAAAATACGAATGGAAATGAACATCTTTTACTTTACTTTTATAGTTGTGCTGCCTACATTGATTTTTCATAATTTAATTTGTTTATTTTTTTCATTTTTGTTTCTTGTTTAGTGTTTAGAGTTTATACAAACTGAATGTTCTTCTACTCGACATCTTCATCTGCAATATTGATTGTACTGCTTGCCAGGTAGTCGAGAAACACAACCCATAAAATATTAAACAAGTACTTATTGCTTAATTTGTTAGTGATATTGGCTGATACTTACTGTCGGAGTTGGACAACTCCTTTTGACCATGAGAGAAAATGCTAGGTTAAAATATGAGGAACTATTGAGTGGCAGATAGGAAAGTTTTATTTCCGTTTTAGTAAGGCTGTTTGTGCCCCCTGAGAGTTCTACTTGATCAAAGACCGTGATCTGTGTTAGAGTTCACTCTGGGTTTTTCTCAATCAGAAAAAAAATAAGTAATGAAGATACCACAACCATGTTTCCCAGTAGACTATAACGGGGTGGTACAATTTTAGCAAAATATCTAATTGCATAAACCAACATTGTGATTGTAATGTGATTTTTTTGATAATAAGTATGTCATTTTGTTCAGAGTAAAATTAAAACGAGCACAAACAATTCCCTAATTGCAACCACAAAGATTGTGATTATGTTTCAATTGAAATAGATCATGCAGTTCTAGACTAAAGGGAGATGAATGA